AAATGAGGACCCGGATTGTTGTTGGGGGAGATATGCTGACTCTGTAAACTGCTTAGAGGAGGGCTGAAAGCCCTATGAAGCGGTATATAAGTCTAACTGCTATTGCTATTGCTATTTAATACCTACTCGGGAGGGCGGGGGGAATAGGACAGTCCTTTGGGAATTGAGAAGGGAGGCGTTCCTGTTTTTTTCTTCCCCTGAGCCTTAAGCCCAACATGGACCTTGGTTGTAGCTGGATCTTAGGAGCAGCCAGCAAGTAGGAATCCCTTTTAAAGGCAAAATCTTTGGAGAGACTCCTGAGCTGCAGCCAGCTGGCCAGAGAGAGTTCGGAGAAAGAGAGGCCCCGGTAGCTCTCTCCGCTCTCTTCCTCCCTCGGTAGAATCGGAGAGTCGAGCCAGGCCCAGCCCTGCTGGAAGAGTTTCATCCCCCTGTTGCTCCCTGAAAAGAGAATGTTAAAATGTGTTCTGGGTCTCCTACCGTTGCAGCTATTATAGCTTTAATTTTCCTATTTCCCCCCGGAATTGTGTTTCTTGCTCGTGAAGTGGGGGACCTGATGGGCACATGCGATACGTAGAATTTTCCTTGCTTCTCAGGACGTGGATCTGGACTTCCTGGCTAAAATGACCAACGGCTTCTCGGGAGCTGACCTGACGGAGATTTGCCAGCGGGCTTGCAAGCTGGCCATCCGCGAGTCGATCGAGAGCGAGATCAGGCGGGAACGGGAGAGGCAGACCAACCCCTCGGCCATGGTGAGCAGCTGGCGCTTTGGGGGAGGGGGGCGGGCACTCCGAGGGTTGGCCTTCACCGGTCCCCGATGCTGACAGCCACACACACACCCCCCTTGCTCTGCTTTAGGAAGTCGAGGAGGACGACCCGGTCCCCGAGATCCGTCGGGATCATTTTGAGGAAGCCATGCGTTTTGCCCGCCGGTCAGTCAGCGACAATGACATCCGCAAATACGAGATGTTTGCACAGACTCTGCAGCAGAGCCGTGGCTTCGGCAGCTTCAGGTACGCCCAGGGGTGCTGCTCTGGTGCCCCCTTCCCCCCCCCCCGGCCCCTCCTTTTCAACACCCTCGGCCAGCAGGTTTGGTGGATGCCGGGAGTCTCTGCTTCCTTATCTGGGCATCCATGACTTCCACAAACGGTCAGGGGAGGGTCTCCTGTGGGAAGGGGCCTGCAGAGCCAAGAGGAGTCCGGCCGTCTGCTTCNTCATTTTACCCACCTCGGAAGGATGGAAGGCTGAGTCAACCCTGAGCCGGTGAGATTTGAACCGCTGAGCTGCAGATAGCAGTCAGCTGAAGTGGACTGCAGTGCTGCATTTAACCACTGCGCCACCTTGGCTCAACCTAGCGATGGGAGATCCAAATTGCCAAAACAAAAGAGTAATAGAGAGGGTGCATCCCCTGCCTTAAAGGTACCGGGATGGTTAAGGAGCTCAGGACTGTTCCCGAAACAAGGAATTGCTCTTCCCACAAGCTTTCCAGATATGGGTGTCTTATGGACACAGGAGGTTTGGCAGATAAGTTACGGCTCAGTTCACACATGCTAGGATATCCTATGGCTTGTTCCAGTCTTGGCCCACTGTAACATGTATTTTTGCTGTACCGTCCATGGATAAACAATAGCTGGTGAGTGGAAAAAGCTAGCTCTTCCCTCTGGAGAAAATGGATGTGATGGGATGGGGGGCTGGGACCCTTCAGAGTGGAAGGTCATTGAATGCCCCGATTTGTGCAAGTTGGACGACGTGAGCATTTCGGATAGCAGCTCCATTTAGTGCATCGGCTTCCCTCACTTTGCCAAAGCTGTGTATGTTTGCTCCTTGTGCGGTGTTTTTGCTCGCAGGATCTGTGTGTGTGCTTCCAGGAATAGGAGCCCTTTTTTTTTGAGACGACAAAGCTTGCCAAAATTTAAATGAAGTGCAAAGATTTTGCCGAAATGCTGTCAGTGTTTCCTGGGTTTTTAATCCAGTTGACTTGGAAAATATTTATAGTGCAAAGGGACATCGAAGTAACTCTCTCTGCAGACGTTCAGGTGTTCGGCTGCAGTTCAGCTTTCAGAGCGTGTTTGAACCACCTGCCTTGTACGTGTTCAGCACTTTCAACGTTATTATTTGATGGCCTGCTTTTAAAGGTCAGGCTCCTTCCCTTCGAACCTCAAATTGACAGCCTTAGCATGTTTTTCTCCTTTTACACAAGAGTTTGCTAGGAGGGGAAAAGCTACACCAGATTGAGAACGGTGGTACTGATTTAGCCAACCTATTGGGAGAAACTAAACACACACTAAAACATACACATTTAATTTGACAAGATCGTTCCAGAAATTAGGAGGTCCCTCTCTCCTATCTTCTGAACGATCCACTGGATTCTCCTATTGCAACTTTCATCCTTGTATCCACCTTAACGCATCCACGACTTAACACGGCTATTTTGGGGGCAGGTGCCTTATGTACACCTCAGAAGACCAGGCCCAGAGGTTACATCAGCCCAGCCTCCGCTTTCATACACACTTGAGAGACCGCCTGCTGCCAATTAGCAATAGCAATAGCAGTTAGACTTATATACCGCTTCATAGGGCTTTCAGCCCTCTCTAAGCGGTTTACAGGGTCAGCATATCGCCCCCAACAANCGAAGGTGTGAAGTCAGACGGGGCTGCAGCGCGGGGCAGATGCTGAGTGGCATCACGGCACCTCCCACTCACCTGGCAGCTGCTGCTCAGGTAGGGGAACCAGCCCCGCAAAGAGCCGGTTGCCTGAAGCGGGGGGGGGGCATCTGGCCCGGTGGTCCTCCCCCCCTTGCAACACCTGCTGGAGCTGCAGCCACACTTCCCCCCCCTGCTGCCTCATCCGGGGGTTTCCGTGGGTTCCAGCAGAAGCAGCAGCCTTGCCGGCCGAAGGACTGAAGGAGCCCCAATGTGGGGTGGAAAGACCCTTCCCGGACCCTCTCGGACCGCCACCTCCCAGCGGCGCGAAGCCGATGTCGCAGGAAAGGCCTGCGGGTTCAAGAGGGGGGGCGGGGAGGACGAAGCCCGCCGAGTGGGAAGCCGGCACGTTCGGCCGCCCTAGATACCGTAACCTTAGTAACCACCGGCGCTTGGCAACCGGGAGCCGCCGTCCCCCCCCTTCCCCAGGGAGCGCTGCCCCCCCACTCGCCGCCCCGCTCAGCGGCAGCCGCTCTGGGGGCGCTGGAAGTTACACAACGCCGGGCGGCGCCCCCCGTCACGACGCCCCAGCAGAGGCTCCGCCACGCGCCAAGCGGCTTCCGGCAGCCAGACCCCCCCCCCCCCCGCCTGGCTCCGCATGGGGGATGCGCTGCTGGCCGTGTCTCTCCTCGGGGCTCCCTGGCTTCCAGGCGCAGCCCCCCCACCCCCTGGCTTCTCCCTCCGGAGGGAGCCTGGGCAGCGGCTGTCCTTAGGAAGGGCTGGAGCCCGCCCTGCTCTTCCCTGCCTGCCTGCCCCTCTCCACCCTGGCATTTGGGCGCTTGGCTCCTCTGCAGGGGTGCTCGAGTGGAGCAGGACTGGCCGCCTGCCCGGGATCAGCCTAGGCTGGCCCTGCTTGGCATGGTCTTTGAGGCAGCCTCTCCACACTTGCCAAAGACTTCTTGAACTCCCAGAATTCCCCAGGCAGCACATGTGCCTCCTGCCCCTTCCCCTCCCCTCCCCTC